GGCAGAAACGTCGGTTCAAGTTCGTTCATTTGACTCTCTTAAACAGCGCGTGAAGATGCAAATTAGCACGACAGACATTTTAATCAGCGCTCCAATTAAGCGCCAACATTGAAAATCAAGTGAAGGGCGGCTAGTAATCTGCACGTTTCCCGAAGACGATTGTCGCTCATTGATTTGCGAACAACTTGAAACCCGGCGTAGCCTTGTTATTCAAGAAATTGTATATTTTATGATCATTAGAAAGCAGATTAGCCATTATGCGAGAATCTTAGCAAGTGATCAGTTCGGTTGCGCCCGGAAGCGACGAGGGTGCTACCAAAAGTAGCGTGCAACCATGGCAGTATTGTAACACTATGTGAGGTATAGTTATGATTATGAATCTTTTCCCATGTTACGACCGTCAAAACATCTGCAAAGCGTTCCAAAACTACAGGTATTTCCGGAGTTTCTCGACTGTTTACCAATGCAGCTGTGTTATTCCGTTGGCAGTAAAGGGACCACACAGCTGTTGGGGAACAGCACAGTTATTTCTTACAAGCGTCCTCATTATCTAGTTTGGGAGCTAGGACTGTCTTATTGAATAAGGAGCCTGTCAAGCTGGTAACTCTTGCTCCTTACCTTGGCGGAACATTGGGGAACATCCATCACACAGAGAGTGCAGGACGGAGAGACAAAGTGAGGGCTCGGATTGTTTAGAAAGAGGAGATCAGCAAGAATGCGGATGGAGGAAAGGCGAAACAACCACATAATCTTTAATTCAGAAACCCTTAATGTAAATTTCGCTTGGCCTTCTAGTAGTGGAAAGCAGTACGATGAAAAAAAAAAACAGCCTAAACTGCTAACAAATAGCTATAGATATCCCTTTTTTGAAGGAAGCAAGCGAGGCAAGGTAGCATGACAGAAAGGCCAAGAATGGTTTTAAAGGTATCTTAGCACTACTGGAAGACTAAGAAGAAGAAAAAAAAAATGGTCTTGTTCTCACTTGATTTTTTTTTGTTTTCTAAAAGCTTCCAAAATATTTGGTTCTATTCAAAAGATCATATCAGTTGATATGAGAAAACCATTCTGGTTGAAAACATGCAACGTTTGAAGCTTTGCGTAATCCCAGGGAGAGTTCATCGCAAAGGCAAGCTCATCAGAATGATTTCATTCATTTTTGCTGCACGTGCAACATGACTGAAAGGATCAGCTGATTGTACTAGCTAGCAAAAAAAAACCAAAAAAAAAAAAAAACCCAAACAAACAAAGAAAAAAAAGAGTTTTCAATTGTGGCCGTCTTTTAAAAGTAACCGCTATTTGTCATTACCGTAGGGCACTGCGATCATCCTATATCTGCCGTGTGTTTGCCTGGTGATGTAATGCTTGCGTTTGACTCTGTAAGACTATGTGAACAAGAAGGCAGTGACATTTAGCTGATATCAAATATTGAATTATTTATGATGTTTTTTTTTCAAAAGGTTTACACGTATCCTTGAGTAAACTGCAGCCTACACATTGTCTGAGCAACCGACACCCATGAGATGCTCACAGCTCACTGGTGCGCACAGCGTATTATATGTACATGTTAATATTATTATGGTATTATGCTGTACAGTATTTATTCGAGGTGTGTTTTTGGGGGGAATTGGTTATTGTGTTTTTGTGCTGTGGACCATTAAAGGCCTTATTACTTGAAAATACTTCACATACTAAACCATGGGAGGGGCTACAATTCAAATGACCTGATGTACCGCAATTATCACCTTAAACTTACCGATGTCCGATAACATTGGCCGACCGATATTATCAGCCCGATATTAGTATAATTATGTAATACCTGTACAAATTGTTACCGGTTTTACCCCTGATAATGAAAACCCGAAAATGCAGTGCCTGGGTTTGCCAAATATGCTGGGATCGCTTGTGCGGCACTTTGTCGTTTACCGCAGTTTTGCGAGAAAACGGCTGCATATATTGTAGTGTTGGTTCTTATCAGAATTGTAAATCAAATATCAGCGTATCGGATATTAGCAAAGACGTAATATTGGACTTTCCTACTTAAAATATATTTACTAATATAAACTCAACATACTTTATATATTGGTGTTTCTGCGTCCAAGTGCGGGAAGTGATAAAGTCACAACTGCACTTTTATTTTCTCTTTTTGATCTTCGCGTTGTTTATATATTATATTATTGACGTTACTTAGTTTTAGTTCAAAAATTTTGGGATCTAATTTGTCAAGATTTCTAATTTGTATAGTATATGATTATGATATGTCAGTATGTGATTACTATACATTATAAAATACATATATATTTTTTAAAAATTATTTTAATTGTTCATGATCTAGCAGTACATCCTTTGCAAGCTACTGGTAGATCCCAATCAACTTTTCATCAATTAGTTTTTTGGAAATCGTTTTTGGAAAAGGTTTTCAAACTTCAGAGATTTGAACATCTCTAGTTAGCCAAGACATCTTTATGATGCTTAGCTAACCTGAACCAAGTGCAGTCACCTTAGAGAACCTAATAAATGTGGAGTTTCTTTTTTTTCTCTCTTACCCAGTGGTCCTGACACACTTCCTCGTGTACCCTTTCACCGAATGATAGTAGGAGGAGGGGAGAGCAAATAGGAACCAGCAGACATTGGGAAATCTAGTCTACATTTAGCAAATTATTATGCTGTTTTTTTTTGTTGTTTTTTTTACTGTGATTTTTCGTTTTTCAATCATCATCTGAATGTTGCAAGAGAGTACTACGTGTTAATCTCGTTATTCGCAAAAACAACAACAAAAAAACATGCTCGGAGATTACATGTGGCTTCTGTTAGCTGTTTTGTTAGCTGGAGCGGTTGTTGGATGTTTCCAAGAAATACAAGATTTATCACTTTTTTAAGTCTCTCATTTTCTCAGTTCCTCTCTAAAGCACAAAAGCCTGATATCTGAGGGTGAATACAGTGCAGTCAAAGAAATACTCTTTTGAGTTGCAGGATCTCAGCGTTCATGTACGTTAGGTATATCACTTGGCGGAAATCACTTGAACGTATTCTTCAATTTATGCAGCCACAGAGCTGTTTTTTTTTTTATGCCAACTTACTGTTTCAAGCAATTGCATTTTAAAATTGCAGTACATCCATAGCCGAGACATTGTTCTTTTGCGCGCTTTGCGATTCGACTGGCTGCTAACGTTGTCAATGACTGGTTGGCGATTGAAATATTCATCAGTTGCAGCCCTTCTCTTCGCTCTTACAGAAGCTGTAGTCTCACATTAGTTCCAGGGCCGGGCATTAGTGAGTCTTTTATATCCTTCTCCCCATGCTACCCCTGTTGTTCAGTGAACGTCAGTCTCGCTGTGCGCATGGTACTTTAAACAGCAGGCTTCCATCGTGACGGAAGTGCGGTGTGTAAGAATAGCCCTGTCGATTTCGCAGCTCGCGCTGAATAAAAGAACAACGCGGTCCTTAAAGTTGGAGGTTGCATAAAAAACAACGCGGTCCTTAAAGTTGGAGGTTCATTGACCGTTATTATTTCGAACCTGTTTTTTTTTTTTTTTTTTCCCCTTTCCCTGCAATCGAACCTCTTTGTGTTTTTGAAATGTCTTTGGAAGAAATGCAGCAGATGGTGGATCGGTTTACTTCAATACAGATGGAGTGGAAACACACTGGCTGGTTCTTTGACAATCCCTCAAACCTGTTGTGTTCGAAAAACTTGTCTGAGCCTTGCTTCTTTCGCCCCGGTTCCCCAGACCTGAGCTGTAATTTCCCACTGGCAGGATATTATAGAGATCTGAGAGCTCCATTACACCAAAGCCATTTCCACTGACAACCCAAATGACATGATAACAGTTGGCATTCGGGCTCTATAAAGAGACTTCTCCCTTTATGTCTGTGCCCTTTTCCCAACACAAATGTGTCGGGGTAAAAAGTGTCCTCGGATCTGTTGTTTTCTACCAATCTCCCTGGAATGTAGTTGTGCCCTTACAACGTTTATTACGGTGTTTCGCATGAAAGGTGGAGGTATTTTAACCTCATCTATCCAAGTACATTTTTTTTTTTGCTGAGTGGGTTTTTAAAGTGCTTTTCTTGCACAATGATTAAACAACAAATCCACATCTGGCAACCTGCAGACTTGCACTATTGCACTGACTGACCAGGTGTGGATAAGTGCCTTGGTGTGAAAATGAGCTTTCCCTCAAAGCACTTCCTCAAGTATTTCTGAGGTTTCTAGATTAGTAAAAAAAAACTCTTTCATGGCTCATAACTTAACACAAGACACCTATTCTTGTATGTTATGTTTCTATGAAAGAATACATTAGGTTTGACTGCTGTAGTATTTTTTCGTGTTTATTGTTTTCTGTGAGACAGCACAGGTGTCCAGTCAGTTTATACGCTCTTCGCTACCTTGTATTTTCCCATTCACCGCTTTTGGTGGTAAAACTCTCATGCTTAAATCAGCACAACAGCTGGTTAGCAAAGTATAGCAGTCCACCATTTCTTCTTCTCCTATAAGAAAAGATATAAGAATTTTGAATTCGGGACCATTTAATCGTCATGTTAAATCAGTGTTTTACAAATGTTTCACATTATACAAATCCTATGACTCTACTCACAGTCTAAGTTAGTGTGATAACCGGGTCCGTTTAGCTTAACACAAAGCTGATACACTTGCAGGAATTGAAGAAAGTCACACATGAAGATCTTCTTCGACAGATCACTCTCTTTTTTGAACTTATCAGTCATCAGTTGCCACCTAGTCCATGAGTATTTTTTGTTCTGTCACGCACATGAAGATCTTCTTTGACAGATCACTTATCAGTCATCAGTTGCCACCAAGTCCATGAGTATTTTTTGTTCTGTCACTAATGCATAGGTAAAGATGTAACTAATATTTATGCTAAATAAGTAATTGTTTTTTGTTTTTTTATTATCCAAGTGGTTGGGAATCGCTGCGTTGAATTATTGAACTCCTGATGTTGTTTCTCTTTGTAAGTTTCCTATTTTGTGTCTTTTTTTTCCCGTAGGCCTGGCTACAGAGGTATGGCTACCTCCCTGCCGCAGACCCCAGAATGTCAGTGCTGCGTTCTGCCAAAGTCATGCAGTCCGCTATTGCTGCCATGCAGCGTCGCTACGGCCTGAATGTGACAGGAACCCTGGACAGCAACACTGTAGAGTGAGTCACACGCATTTTCAAAATTCCGCTGTACACAAACTTTGTTTGACATATTCAAACGCCGCCCCCCCACCCCCACCAAGACAAAAATGTTTTTTAAAAGTTAAATGTAAATGCAAGTAAGAAGCGGTGTTCAATTAATCAGTTAGACAATTTAATCTGCGTCTTGGCACCGTAAAACATCAAAACATTTAATGGGGAAAGAGGACGTTCCCTTGAATACTGATGATATTTGTATTTCTTATTAAAGCCTGAGCCTGAGTTTCTGCGGGATGAAATATGAATTAATTTAGCTGCGGATAGATACTTCACAAGAAGAATGAGCAGCGGCCGGGAGATGAAATGTGCAGTGAGCTGAAATGTTGCGGTATTAAAAAAAAAAAAAAAAAAAAAAAGAAAAAAAACCCCCGAATATATTAGTTTGTGTAACTTTGACTCACAAAGTTGTCTCTACATTTGTGCGGGGGATTAAGTGGAGGTTTTTACGAACCTCAACGTGATGCGATGGAGACAGATGAGTCCACAGTCCACAGGGTTAACACTTAACATATTTTTAACCACAGGAAATGACCAACTTGTCTCGTAACCTCGCAACCTTAAGAAACGGATTTTGTTGAATAGGTCACTGAACTGGAGCGAAGCAAAATGGTGGCCAGTAAAGGTCTAAAATTAGGTGAATGTGAGTTAACAGCATTGTTTGTTTTTTTGTTTGTTTATTTCCCCTCTCTGCTTCTCTTGGTTGATGAAGGGATGACACAGTAAGGTGAGAACTTTTTTTTTTTTTTTTGTAACAAGTTGTATTCATCCGTGTCTAAATCTGTAGGGCTTGTGAATAATAAATAATGTGCATCATTTCTGTTGACAACATATGGACGTAAATGGGAATCTGTTCATCGATGGAAATGAACACCTTATTTTTTGTCTATCATGGATGCGCGATAACTTTTTTAAAAAAAAAATACGATACTGATAACTTTCTGCTTCCAATGGCCAATACCAGACGCCGTACCATAACAGATGACATACCTCGTAATAGGAAAGATTAGTGTTCTAAAGTGGAACTAATATATGTTATGACATCAATACTATAAACAACTAGTGTTCTAAAGTGGAACACTAGTCCACTATATGTTATGACATCAATACTATAAACAAAACCCAAAACAGTTTTGACTCTTTAAAACAAACTATTTGATATTTGATCAATTATTTGATACTTCAAATTAATAAAGTGCATTACTTATTTAAAAAAGTAGTATTTTTCCTTCCTTGTTGAAATACTTGGAGCATTTATCGGAACTAGCCATCGAACTGTATGACGACGTTCCTCTTCCTGGTTTGCGATTTTTTTTTTTTTTTTTTTTTTTTTTTTTTTTTTGCTCATGTTTCTACGGTTAATTTGTAACATAGTGGGTACGGTTGTTTTCCGATAATACCGATAGCCCTTCAGTGCTAACTAAAATATATATTGCACATTATCAGGGCTAATCGTTATGGTATCGGACTTATCGTCGCTAAGTATGGTGCACCCCTTAATTATTATTTGTGATCGTGTAATGAACACGGTCGGTCCTGCTGACTCATCATCTTCTTCCTGATTTCCTAAAGATGGATGAAGAGGCCCAGATGTGGTGTTCCTGATCAGTTTGGGGGTGCATCCAGATTCAGCGTCAGGAAACGGCGATATGCCCTCACAGGACAGAGGTGGCAGCACAAGCATATCACGTACAGGTGGGTGGCCTTTTGAGATTTCTACATGCTTTTGTTGGTATAAAAAAACAAAAATTCCCCAATTGTAGCAGTTATATTTTGAGGTATGCTATTATGTATTTTTCCTGCTTTTTCTATATTAATCATAAATATAATAATTATAAAAAATGTTTTTGTTGTCATATTTACCAATGTTGATTTAACCATGATCGATCACAATTTGTGATGATCACATTATTCATGCTTAATTATTCGTGATTTATTACTGCTACCGTGTGATTAGTCGTATTGAATTTTTTTTGTTGTTTTTAAAATCACATTAAGTCAGTTTGCATTAGTTTTGGTCGGGTATAAACAACAGTATCATTTTCAGTGCAGTCTTCAGACTAAGATCGACCCATGGCCTGATGTTGGCAGATGAAGCTTTTTTTTTTAACTTATTTGATTTATGCTCTTGTTTTTGACATTTTCAAAAATATCTTACATGTGATTCAAAGCAGCAGCTGCTCTATGTTTTTTTTTTTTTTTTTTTTTTTTTAAAGCTGCATCATATCCATCTAGAGCCTAAATCTCTAAAGCCTCGAGATCCGAGCAGAAACCTCAGCTTTATCCGCAACAAAACATGGCACAAAGACAAAAGTAGGCGCTAAATTTAGTCTTCAAGCGTGTGTTTTTTTTTTTTTTTTTTGAAGAAACACCATCGGTGGAACTGTATGACATAACTTGCCGTAAGAAACGAAGATATAGCGAAGTCCGTAGCCCAATGTCTGTTATATTTACATGATTATTATTTATATCATTTGTTTTCTTTATATTTTGCTTTGCCTGGAGGATAAATGTATAAGGAGCAATGCACGCTGAACGCAATCCAGTAGATTACGATATTAGTACATGACATTGGGTTTGCTTTGGGCCCTATTTCTGGTTGATTGGTTGATTTAAGATGGCAGAGGAAAATGAGGGAAAACAAGTCGACCTGATGTAGAGCGGAGGAGGGAAGGAGGAGAAATGAGGCGTTCTGGATGAAAAGCAGCTGCAAAGAAAGATGTGCTGAGAGGAGGAAACCCCAGTGGAGGGCACAGGGTGCTCTCTGACAGATTAGGATTACGTAATAGGATATGTGTGTGTATGTGTGTGTGTGTGTGCGCGCTCTGGATGTGTGCCACGGCTCAACAGTCAGATGTGCCTGCAGCTGTTCCTTTTGTCTTACATCAATGTAGCGGTAATGGAGAATCAACAATGTTTTTGGGGTACGGATTCAATATCTGTCGGCTAGCTTCCTAGAACCGTCGTCGATCTTTACGAAATTAGCTCACGTTTTTTTTTTTTTTTTTATGTGTGACTTAAGATTTCCGCCAGAAATGCTAAAATACACAGTAAACAACACAAATAAAATAAAACAGAAAACACCCGTAAACTGTAGGGGCTGTAATCTCCAGGTCGACTGTTCGATTTATTGGTCGATACATTCTGGGTTGACAAAAATTCTGATTGGTCGATTTAAAAAAAAAAAAAATTTACATAAATATTTTTGACTTTCTTTGGTTGATTACTGCCCAAGTCAACCGATGTGTTTAAATCTGCATTTGGTCGGTTGTACACAATAATATCGCATTGTACGCAATGCCTAATTGGCGTATACCTGAGTATATAGTATTTTGTGTACTGTAAATTACCACAGCTAGTTCTTCCTTCAGTGACGTGCAGGCTGAGACACAGCGGCAGAACTGAATTCAGGTCAGATCATTTGCCTTTGTCTCCGCTTCAAAGTTTCTCCTTTTCTTTCTTCGAACAATAACTTCGGAAAACAATGCCGGCATTTGGAAATGTATTATAAATACACGGTCCCCAGGTGGTTGCTAGTTTTTGTGTAGCCACATGCAGCTCTTGCTGTGGGAAGGCACTAATTATCCTTGGCATGCCGGCTGTTCTCACTGCATGCAGGTACTATATGGCATTGGTTACACTTTTCTCTGTTTCCTGTTCCCGCAGAGAGGGTGTTGTTCATGGTCACAGATTCATTCATACAAAAAAAACAACCTAGTGTAGTATTCTATACCTGCACACGTTCCAGCCGCTCTTTCGGTATGCTACGGAGTTTTCCTCAGAATTTGGATAAAAAGGGGACTTACGCTGTTTGAATACAAACTAATATGATTGGCTAAATGAAATGTTAGTTACGAAGTTCCGAAGCATTTAGCGAGCATTTAGCTCGCCATATAGTAGTCGACGCAAGTGCAATATGTAGACTACTTGAAGTTGTACGCCGCTGTCGTCTCCATGTTGTCACCAATGGCGACTAACTTCCAGCGACTCATGGATTTACATTTTAACCGTGTAAGCTACATGTTGTTAAAATGAAAAAAAAAACGTGCCTGCATTGGGCCTTAAGTGGGCTGTAATAAATAAATATATATATATTTATATGCTATAAATATATATATATATACATATATACACACATACATATATGTATATACAGTACATACTGTATATACATATATACTGTATATACATATATGTATGTATTTATATATGTATGTATATAAAGCCATCAGTAGTCTGTCCAGAGCAGGGGTGCCAAACATACGGCCCATGGGCCAAAACCGGTCCACTAGGGTGTTCAGTCCGGCCCGCTAAAAGATACACAAACTGCATTTTTAAACTGAAAAGCCAGCCACACAGTCGAACTCCCAAGTCAATTTGGGACCTACTAACACAGCAACCCACAGCATATTTAAGTTGTCTGACCTGCACGGCGTAAACTCCACCTCTCCATCCATCCCAGAGAAAATGTGTGAGCGTGAGAGTGAAATATTTTCAACGTGAATAAAGTGGAGACAGACCTTCCCCATGGCCCGAACCAGACTGGCGCTCAGCAGGCAGTGGGCTGTTGATATCTTTAATTAGAAAATAAATTCAAGAGGCAAATTCCTCTCCACACCTGCAGCCTGTTCACAGACTCGACTGTCTTTGTTCACAAATCACTTCTCTGAGCTCCTTGCTGTCCAACAGGGTGAGAGTGTAATGGCAAAAAAACAGTGTTACGGACAAAGTTATTTCTCTTTTTTTGTTTTAGTTGTTGTTGTTGTAGTTTGACTGCACGGATTGACAAAATTCCTGGTTGTCGTGTAGTTTGACTTCACGGATTGACAAAATTCCTGGTTGTCGTTTTAACTCTTCGCCTGATATAATTGGGTTTCTACCGTTCCTCAACATGTCCTCTGCCAGAGTGAAGGGCTTACTTGAATCTCTAATTACGTAGCACATTGTTTGCATATCCCATCTATTATTCTTATCCTTTGTCTCTTGACACCGCAGTATAAAGAATGTCACGCCTAAAGTGGGTGCTGAGGAAACCCACGATGCCATCCGACGAGCCTTTGATGTCTGGCAAAATGTGACGCCCCTGCGCTTCGAGGCTGTGCCCTACAGCGAACTGGAGAGGACCAAAAAGGACGTAGACATCACCATCATCTTCGCTTCAGGCTTTCATGGAGACAGCTCGCCCTTTGATGGCGAGGGCGGCTTTCTGGCTCACGCCTATTTCCCAGGACCTGGAATAGGAGGCGACACACACTTTGACTCAGATGAGCCGTGGACGCTGGGAAATCCAAACCACGATGGTGAGTTTTATGTCTTGTCTCAGAGTGGATTTGCAATTAGAAAAAATTACTCGTATCGCCTTGGAAGAGTAGTAAGAAATCAAACCCAACCTCGCCTAGACATAACCATAAATAGACCCAATGCCAACTTGGAACAAACTCATTCTTGGACATAACCTAAAATGTCCCTGAACCTAAAATAAACCTGAAAGAATATCAGCACAAGGGATGTCCGATAATATCAGCCAACCGATATTAGCATAATGTTACAATTGTTTTCGGTTTTTTCCCGACATGATGTGACCCCAAAAACAGTTTTGAAAAGTGAAAGTGAAAGTGAATTATTATTGTCATTGTGACACAGCACACCATTGCACAATCACGTGTCCTCTGCCTTTAACCCAAACGGCTGCATATATCGGTATGTCATCTGCATACATCCCTAAGTAACACACCATAATAAATCAAACTGACAAGGAAACTAACGTGAGACCCAGGTCTGTTGTAGTCCATTTCTATTTCAGAAACTAAGGTCTCGTTGCCGTAAAAGTTAAGTTGAGCATTTTGGCTTAGGTATCGGATTTTTTTTCGACGTGCAATCCCGAAATTTTTGACCAATATCGGACCGATACCGACCCTAAGTATCGGTTCGCGCCATCCCTACTCAGAGGTACAACTACGTCGAGTTCACAGTTGTTGGTCCCCTGCGTTTAGTTACCGCCGAGCGACATTAGCATAAGCTAAATGTGTGATTTGAAAAACCTGGTTTCATAGCTCGGCCGTTGTGCTGACTGGAGATCGTTGCTCCGTCCTGGTGTGGTTGTAGTGTGTGTTTAGTCTGCTGCTGCCTGCTCAGGCCTTTCTCTCTGCTGCTGAACTAAACACATCAGTCGTGCCTGAGCAGAGTGATTACGCTCTAAGCCTTGCAGCTTCCCAGGCTATATGTGGGCCTTCAGCAGTCGGAGTCTTTTCAGTCGGTTGCACGTTCCGGAGCTGCCGTCGCTGTCGTGTTTGCGGAGCTCCGACAGCTCACTGCTTATATGTGCGGCTTCCTCCGTCGTAATGATAGCGCTGTGTCCGGAGAGTGGATGATTAGATGGATGAGAGTAGAGGATCGATAATAAAAACATAGGAAGTTGTCGATGACATTTTCGCCCCATGTCACGCAGGGATATCCGCAAACCAGACGTTTAGTCGCAGTGCTTTTATTAAAACATATTTGATCATAACAAAAATAGCGGCAACTACACTGTCTGAAATATCAGAAGTAATTTGGTGTTACACCTTAACATTTGCGGGAAAATGGTAAAATGACAAAGAAAAGGCTTTTAGGGTTTTATCGGCCGAACTACTTGTACAAAAACAAAAGCTAATTTCGAAAGTATTTCTTGTAGCAAATTGCATAAAAGGTAGAGTGGAAACAAATTAACCACTAAGTTATTCCCTTTTTAAGTGTATACAATTTCCTAAAGACAGATCTGACTGCAGGGAGGCTCGTTAGGTATCACTTTCTCCATAAAGTATCGCATTTGCAAAAAGTGCAGATTGAGGCCTGACATTTCTTGAGGAAAAACAAAAATAAAGTTCATTAGAGAAAAGTATCTTTTTCGTATTCCCGAGAGAACTAAAAGTACCAGCCGTTTTTTACTCCCGATATCGTCTTGACGACCGTGTCGTCTTCCATATGGCTACAGTCTATTGTCATAGCATTGGCAGTTGTGCAGCTGTGCTTTTTGTCACATTGACTGTTGTGTCTACCTAGCAACCTGCTTGTAGCGAATGTTAGCACAAGTAGCGCCATGTTTTTCAACTGATTTCCAAGCGATTTCTCTGCTACTTTTTGTCTTCCATATCAACCCATCAATATACAGGCCTAATAAAGTATGGCTCAAAAATATATACCGTGTTTTCCGGACTATAGAGCGCACCTGAATATAAGCCGCACCCACTAAGTTAAAAAAATATATATATATAAATTTGTGTCCTTTTCATGATGATGGGGTGACGGTATAATATACGGATAATTTGCGGTTATGCTAGTTGTGTTGCATGTGCTAAATAAAAACTAGTTTTTGCACTTCCTGCTAGAACGCCCCCTGGTGGCTGAAGAAAAATCCATAGAAAAGCCGCATCCTTGTATAAGCCGCATGGTTCAAAGCGTGGGGAAAAAAAGTAGCGACTTATGGTCCGGAAAATACGGTATGCTCAGTTGATGGGGAGATGGAGTGAAATATATGACATCACGTCTTAATGGGGACACAGTTTTTAAGACTTTGCAACAAGACTGGGGAGACAGTTTTTAAGACTTTGCAACAAGACTTTGTTTTTTTTAACTTTGGGGGAGAAAGTTTGTTATTTTCTTCAGCGTCCATGTTGGAGACGGAGGAGTTGGAGATGTAAGGACAAGCGTGAAGGCAACGCAGACAAGCAGGAAGCAGAAACCAGAGAGATGATGAGAGGGAATCACAAAGTGTCTCTAGACGATTATTGGAGGGCGAAGAGAGAGCGAGAGAGAGAGCGAGAGAAACGGTAGAAAAGGAGAGCAGAAGAGATGAGTGGGAGCCGGCGAGCACTGTGCATTGCAAATAGACATGGGGAACTTTGTGTGGCAGAGTGAATTTTAAGTAGGAACAGAGAAACGTTTGTACGGAGCACATGTTCCGAACGGGGCTTGTTGTTTGCTCCAACTCAATATATATATATATATATATCACATATCACAATTAGAAGAACAATCCAACGACAGCGTCAGTAGGTAGCTCGCACTAAAGCGAAAAAGGCCTGGCGCATGTGCACAGGTTGGAACACTTTTGCCCCCTCAGAGCACTTATAGCACTGCACTGCTGCAGCCCACACTGCTGATTAGAAGAAGAATCCAACGACAGCGTCAGTAGGTAGCTCGCACTAAAGCGAAAAAGGCCTGGCGCGTGTGCACAGGTTGGAACACTTTTGCCCCCTCAGAGCACTTATAGCACTGCACTGCTGCAGCCCACACTGCTGTGGAAACATCCCATAATGCAGTTCTATTACACCCTTCCCAGCTGGTACTCACACTGGCCAAATGTGAACATTGCACTGGATTAATGCGGACTGATCTCTACGGCGGCGCTGCTCCGACTCCTGCATGACAAGTAGTTATACCGAGATTAATTTCGAAAGGAAAAAAAAAGGTCAGCCTTAACACTGCCGGCGCTAGGTATTAGTATATATGTCTCACAGTAGGTTACAGTGAGAACTTCAATCTCTATTATGTAACAGCTAGGAGCAAAAACAAAAAAAAACAAAAAACAAAAAAAAAAAAAACGCTTTACTTTCACTCTAGCAAGAGACACCCTCACGGCAACGATGAGTTCCTGTTAAGCTACATCCTGTCCCTCTCGTAGCTAATCTCCCTACATGGTTGTCAGGAAGAGTCAGTCGTCACGGTGACCATCGCCAGCATCACTCCATACATGGTGCTGTTATTGTTTTGGATGTGACACCGCAGACGCACGCTGGAGGATCATTCGCTGCCGACTGTGTGGATATACACACCAGCTCTTGTTGAACAGGCTCACGTGAACTCGTGTCAGTAACTCCCTTACACACACACACAAACGCGCGCGCACACAAACACACTAGCTTATAAACATCTGAGGATTAGCCCACGGTTGTTTCAGCCCAGGCAGTAGAGTGAGGTTCCTGGTAGGGTAAGCTAATGGCATTTTGTTAGATTTGCGTTGTGGTCTGCTTAGACTGAATTGTAAATGCCCATATTTTATTGCGATGGGAAATGGTTTGGGTAAACTTTGCGATCATTTCATGGGAATTTTAGTAGCCTGACAGTGGTACGTTACCAAATTTGATCAGAACATGATCAGAACAGAAAATGGAATTAAGTTTTCAGTCAAATGATTTGTTGGGAAATGTGTTCTTCTGAGGGGCTCATGAGCAGAGTTAATGACGAGGTTGATCAGGAGGGCAGCTGTAACTACAGTAAATACCCCGTTACCCAGATACAAAAGGTTTCTTGATAATGAATCTTGATAGTGCCGATAATTACCGAGAATTCGTCTTTCAATTTTATTTCAAAACCATAGTTTTTACAAAGCTTTTCGGGCTGTTTGTAAAGACACAAACACACTGCTCTTTTGTGATTTTGTCTCATGCGTTTGTTTGTCAAACCAAACATGTACATAAATGTGGTTTCAGGAGTCGTACTTCGCGTAACTTTTTTCGCGAGCGATCTGGATCTTGAGCTAGACAAAAAAGTACTTTTGCTCTTCTGGTACAACCCAAACTTTACTCATTGGTGACATATTTATTGATATTTCATTATATTGAGCAAAGTAGCAGAAAATAATAACCCCGGCTCCCCCTGTGGACAAAAGATGTATTGCAGTTAGTTTTCTAACAGGCTGCTTAGTGGTGTTTCTTGTCAGATCGTCATTGATTACGCCACCATGGGGGATCCAATTACCAGCCACGACCTAGTAAGGCCCTGTCCGTGTCCATACACGTTCTGAGGCTTCAACTTTATTGGGAGGCAAAGGCTGTGACTGGAAGTTGCGATAACTTGATGCTCTTTATCGGCTCGCAATCCAGGGCTACTTAAAAATGGAAGCCGATCGTCAGCCGGTGGTTTTCCTCACACAGAGGCTCGCATGGGTGCTTTATCTCAAGGTCATCATTGCGGGTTGATGCAACTGTGTTTGTACAAAATCAAAGCGCCGCACAATGCGGGTTGATGCAACTGTGTTTGTTTGTACAAAATCAAAGCGCCGCACATGAGAGGCAATGAGACGGGTTCCATTATGATTTTCACACCAAAACACACAAACTGAGGCATGCTTGTTTTTTTTTTCAAAAAAAACCCAAAACACGTCACCCTAACGACTGCATACCGTGACTTTAGGCAAACAAAGTCCGTCTTACCCGAGGGTGACTTATAAGGCATGGTATGCCTTCAAGGACCTGCAGTCTCCAGGAGTATCAGACGAGCTGTGTAACATAACATATTAGTCAGGCCAGACCTACACCCT